GTTCTAAAATCAAATTAAATAACAGGCCTGCTCTAAAAATACCCCATGCAAAACCCCCACTAAAACATAATCAAACTACGCCAGGCCGGCCGCACGGAATAGATGGGCCTTCAGGGCTCGGCGAAAAAGGCGCAGGTCCGCAACTGTACGTAGGTCGGGGGGTAGGTCATTCCAGAGGGCAGGAGCTGCCACAGAGAAGTGTGAGATAGGTGGCTATACAAATACGACAGAATAAACAAACAAATAAATAAATAGGACCAGGAAGTTTCGACTGCACCCTAGAAACAGCTGCGGATCAGTGGATGAGATGAGATAATTTTTGAACGGGCAGATTTTCCATGCTTTCTGTTTTAAAACGGCTTAAACCCTACTGCTATTAGTAGCCTATTCCTCAGAGCTTCAAGTAACCCCATTCCTACTCTCTTACCAAACCACAGAACAGGTTTTGCTAGCACCACACTCACCCGGAACAGTGGGGCAACGCAGGAACAACTAGTTTGGCCACTGAGCTTATTCATTTCTGAGTCTACTGAAGACACAGGAGAATTCGATGAGCCCACACAAGCCTCACTTCAGGGTGGGTGATCACAGGAGACACCAGACATCAAATTTTGTTTATAGCCCTCACATTATTCCAGGTTCCTAAGTCCAGCTTAAGCCAAAGCATTACAGTGGGTATATGGCAGGAAGAAACATTTGCAGGGGCCAACCCCCCCCCCAACTCTTGATCCAAGCACAGGCCAAGTAGAGATAAACTCCATCATGCCTTATTAATGACCGTCACATGGCTTCCCTAATATGATCTCTGTGTACACTGCAAATAGCCAATTCATTAAGAGAAACCAGCAGGGCTGAGGAAGGGCTGCGCCAATTATCAGGAGAAAGCTTGGCAGCTCTATCAAAGCCAGCATCTGTCTTGATCTCTCATGAGGGGCCCAGTCAAGTACAGCTGGTCCTGTGAGCTTCAAGGACAGCCTGAGCAACACAGATTTCCCACAGCTCCCAGTCTGCCCCCATTCACAGCAGCTTCAGGCTGAGGCTTCACATTGGCCGAGCAGTCTCCCAATTGAAAAGCACTGATTCTAAGCCCAGACTGCCAACAGAGCTACGCCCATGTAATTTTGCAGAAAAAAATGGAGGGGGGGATTTTTAAACCTTGCTCTACATATTTGCCCTCAAACAGCTTAGAGAAATGAAGACATAGGATTCTAATTTCACTTCCTGCTGTATCCGCAGCATGATTAATTCCAGCCTTCCTCTCCCTGTTGTCCTCTAGACCAGGATTTCCCAACCTTGGCAACTTTAAGATGGGTGGACTTCAACAGTCAGAATTTCTGGAATTCTACCCATGTTAAAGTTGCCACGGTTGAGAAACACTGCTCTAGACAATTAACATGTTGACTGGGAATTCCGGGAGCTGCAGCAGCCCACCAGTTTGGGAAAGAACCATCTCTTCTTAAATTCACATTAGCTAGAAATTCTGGGAATTATGGTCCTAATACATGTGGAAGGCATTAAATTGGAGAAGGCTGACCATATTGTACAGTGTCAACTTCCTGTTTTATGAAGAAATGCCTTCACCGAGATTTTAACTATACTGTAGATACTAGATCAATTGTTATATTCATCTTGCATTGCTTTTCATGGCATTCTTTTGAAAATCCTAAGTAGCTAATAGAGATACAATTGTGAGATTTCTCAAGAAATTATTGTGACATCCAGAGACATACTGCATCCCATTTAAATGTTATTATACATTCTTCTTGTTTCATGCTGTCCCATCCCCCCCTCCACACACACACACATCAGAGGAGTTGTGTTTCCTAAAAAATAAAAAAAAGCTTTTTTTGTGAAGTGAAAGAGCATGATATTATTCTCCCAGTGTTCTGCTACAGAATACTATTTTGGCTTCTCTGCAGGGGGAAAAGGGATATTCTATCAGTTTAGAGAGCTACAATTTCTTTGTGAAGAACTACCAGGTAAAAAGGTTTTTCAGAGTAATATTTGATCTTCCTTGAAACAGATTTTCTTAAAGACTATAATTCTGAAAAAAATTAAAGTATTCTATTTTAAAATTATATGCCTTAAATATATAAATCAATGTGGATTTAAATGTGGTTAGCAATTATTTCTGAAAAGACCTAAAATCAAGGGAGTGTTCTGGTAGTGGTTATTTTTACATTTTTTTCTTCTATTTAAAATCTGAACATGCTTTTTGTTAAACAGGAAGGGACAGAAGCATCTCATTCCTTATGAACTTTCGTTTCTCTCCAAGACCAGAAATCATTAATCTTGTAACCCAACTGATAGTAAGATAAGGACCAAGAATAAAACCTTTCTTGACAGCTATGCTGTCTTATTCACAGAACACAGAATTCTCAAATACATCTCCAGACCGCTATTGTTTATTTAGATTTTCCTACTAATGTAACCTTTTCATTTAACTGAAAAATAATCCACTACTAAGTGCAAGGTAGTAATTTTTTCCATTGGTATAAAAATGCTGAAAGCACAAAACGATGTACCTGTTTGGAAGCTTCTTTTTCTGTGAGTTGATATTTATTTCAGGTTGCAGTGCCATTCTGTGCTGTACAGAGCAAGTCCATTCTCTAACTCAAGACAAGCTCTTGAGTTAAAAAGCAGGTAGCATCCCCACTGAACATACCCATTTCCATTTCTATGTAAGCAAATGTTATGTCTGGATATAAGCCATGATTTTCTTATTACTGCTCCATTCAATTTTATGTATTACCCATACAATTTTATTGTAATCAAAATGTCACTATTCCAAGGATGAGACATTCTTAAACTGTACAAAAACAAGCTATCTTTATTTTTTAAAAGACAACACTGACAGATATCTTGCCAGTAATACCCTGCTCTTCTTGCTCAAAAACATTTTTTAAGAGTTACGAGAAAAGTAGCTTTGGCTATAAAAGTTAGCTGGGGGGAAAAACAGAAGACAAATTTGAAATTGACTAGAAAATCAAACAGGCTTTTTTTTTTCTTAGCTTTGTTGCAAAAAAAAAAAAAGTCAAGAAAAGCCATCATCATTAAAGTTTACTCCGAAGATTGCAATCGACTTGGAAGAAGAATCAATCCTAACAAAAATTAAGCACAAAACAAAGAACTAATATGGTATTAACAACTGTCCTTTTGGGAAGAGATGATTCTAACTCAGAAACCAAAGAGGAACCCACTAGTTTTCTCAATTGCATGGGATTTTCTGCATGGAAAAGAGAAAGAAAATGCATTCTGTACAAAAATGCATGGATAGTTATGGTCAACTCTAAGAGCTATGTCTTGAAGTCCCCCCCACAAACTTTCTCCAGAAGGAGATAAACAAATTTGCCCAAACTAGGTTGGTAAATGGAAGCACCTTGAATGATGAATTTGTAGAACTGTTAAGAGATTTTACCAAAATCTCTCTTCCCAGTTCTTTGAAACAAATTCCCCTTCTCAGCATAAACTCCAATATACCTAAATAGCAAAGAGAGAACTTGCCTATTTCTCCAATAACTATCAGGCATTTACTTCCAGCAGCAATATGAACAAATTTTTCCTTCCTATTTTGTCAAAAACTTTACAGGCATCTCCACCACCACCATCACCCACTGCACAGATATTGTCACTTCAGTTTTGCAACAGACGGACTTGTCAAGCATCTCTTAACTCCGGACCAATGGAAAGCTTCACTGGCTCAAGTCATTTAGGCTCCCTAGGAAAAAAAGGGAAGGGAAAAAGAGGTTGCAAGCATTTACAGACCTGGCAATATCAGGACCTCACTAGACAGCTCTTTCCACCTGGAAACCAAGAAGCTGAGAAATTAATCAAGGGGCATCCATTGTCTTCTATCTAATCATGGGCCAAGAGATCTCCAGGATATACCTGGGGCGATAGAGGAGGAAGCTACAGTCACTGTGGCCAGTATTTCATATGAAATAGTCTCTCGGTCTGAGCTACAATCCCATAGGATTCCAGACTCAGAGCCGGCTTGGGCTGTACCAATCACAGCTACATAGGGGGAGAGGGAGGAGACAGTCCCAAAATTGCAGCCACTGCCAAGAGACAGGCAGAGTAAGAGACAACTGAAAGAAGCCACCAATGGTCAGCCAGCCAAGCTAATCTCAAAGTAAGGAAGAATTAACCCTTCAAGAACCAGAGAGGGTTATGGTTCTCTTTCAGGCTCTCTCTCTCTCTCTGTTTCTCAACTCTACAGTGGAGTTCCAATGCATCGGGATTTCCAAAAGTAAAAGCACACAGCACCACATACCGGTCATTTGACGCTAGTAAGAAAAAAGGTGAGCCTCAAAAAAAAAAAAAAAGCTGTTCTGACTTTAAGCACATGTCCATGGGTCTGTGTGCACACACATGCAATTGAAATAAAAGCAAACGAATCTGCTTTCGTTTTCTTGAGAAATGTTAAAAGCAGTCTAATATATTCTTTGCCATGCAGTTTTCACTTTTCAACTGTGTGATATTCAGTCCTACCTCCTAAGCCCATTCCAGATAGAACCCAAAAGCCTAAAGCAGACACTAAAACATTCCAACAAGCCACTTCTAATCATCGGGCATTGTTACTTCCCAAGCTATATTGCATTATCTAACTTACAGAGCTACCATACTATAATCTTTTCAAATATGTTAAGCCAATGGAGAACTGAAACTGATTGGGTTTTAAGATAGGACGGGGAGAGAAAAAAAGCAAAAATTTGCGCAGAATAGAAGCAGATTGAGGGTGGCAGCAGGGCAAGCTTTATTTCCAAGAGCTTTAGTCACTGAATATTTATCAACAATGACCTCCGAGAAGCAACTGACTCCTCCCACTTCTCTAGATGTCACGGAAGTCTCTTTCTCTGCTGTCCCAGATATAAAAGGCCTGGAGTGTCACAGTCACAAGCCTGTCTTCTCGCTTCCTGGTCTTCAAAGGCAGCAGAGTTGAAAACCCTCCCAAGCAAATTCTATGTGGAAGTTTACAGGAATGCCCTGATGATGTTCACATGGGCACACATGAGCTAGATTCATCATGCAGGATTGCATAATACAGGTGCTGCAAAAATTCAGATGGCCATGAGAAGGCAACAAACAGATACAAAATGTTTCTTTGCTGCCATCTTATAATCATCTGGATCTCATCGCATTACCTTAGTGCAGTGATGGCGAACCTTTTAGAGACCGAGTGCCCAAACTGCAACCCAAAACCCATTTATTTATTGCAAAGTGCCAGGGCTGCATCAGCATTGTGGTGCCCTTGGGGGGGGCATGGAGGTGTGGCCCACTGGGTGGGTGTGGCTGCAGTGGTCATGACAGACTGGGGGAGCATGGCCGGGGCCAGTCCCTCGCCATCTCCGGGGCATCCCCGGGAGGCCAACGCCACTTGCTCACTCACTTCCTGCTCTGTCGCTTCCAAACGCCACGTGCTCGCTATTCTGGCGAACTCTCCTGGGGCAACGGCACGCGTGCTCACAGAAAGGGCTCTGAGTGCCGCCTCTGACACGCGTGCCATAGGTTCGCCACCACTGCCTTAGTGCAATATGTAAAGCTATCTCCACATAGAAGCTGTTTTCTCAGCAATCTAAACAGAAATTAAACTCCTGTTGCTGAAAAAAACAAGCCACGATTCAATTCCGAATGGATTCTTTGCAATCACCTTCACCTCCTAGTAAGGGCCAATGTTTTATATTTACTAGCTAGAAAGTTACTTGAAATATATTACAGGTAGTCCTCGACTTACAACAGTTCATTTAATGACCGTTCAAAGTTACGACACTAAAAAAAGTGACATGATCATTTTTCACACAATTATTGCACCCTCCCAATGGCCATGTGATCAAAATTCAGATGCTTGGCAACATATTTATGACATTTGCAGCGCCTTGGGCTCATGTGATCAGCTTCTGCAACCTTCTGACAAGCAAAGTCAATGGAGAAACCAAATTCACTTAACAACCGTGTTACTAATTTAGCAACTGCGGCAAGAAAGGTCGTAAAATGGAGCAAAATTCACTTAACAAATGTTTCACCTAGCAACAGAAATTTTGGGCTCCATTGTAAGTCGATACTTTTCACCTGTTTTTATTTTTATTTTCAAACATGCATCAGTTCTAGGATCTGTTTACAAACAGAGCAAGGGAATGATGTAAAAAGTTATAAAGTGGTATTTATATATGGATTTTGAAGAATCCAACTTTACCCAACATGGTACCTTCCAGATATGTTATATAACAACTACCATAATTTTCAGTTACCTACTAAGGGTACTTGCCCCAAATTGGGGAAATATTCAATCATCTGAACACTGCCAAGTTGGGGAAACTGTAATATAGCTTTGGGATAATGGAATGGACAGAATATAACAAATTAGTATTCATCAAGAACTTGCCTAGTTTCTGAGCTACATATGCAACAATTTTGCTTGCTTATTTTAGTCCAGATACTGTTAAAAATAAATCGTTTGCTTATACCATTTTTTTAAAAAAAATGAAATGTTATTTCACAATTACTGGAAAATGATCAGCATTTTAGAGTGGACATGTTGAACACTTTTCAAACATGTAATTGTAAAAAGCACTAAGCAGCAAGTTAATTACCATAAGATTAAAAAAAACAATGTTGAATAACACTTACAGCGTTTCTGGAGCAAATAAATACTGCTGATATTGAAGCAACAAAAGAAATTGAATGTTTCAATTTAACTTTTGCATGCTTCATACAGAACAATCTAAGGAAATGTAAACGTAAGCCTCACATATGGAAACACTCAGTGAAGTCATGATTTAAATAAGATAGGGCACCATCATAGAAATCTCAGGGTTGTTTTAAAAAATTCAGGAGTAAGCTTAACCAGCAACTGCAAAATTATATGTCGAAACCTTTCAGTTACAAGGTTGCTCTAAGCCAGGGGTATCAAACTGGCAGCCCAGGGGCCAATACATAACGAACAGGCCACGCCCACCCCGGCTCCGCAAAGGAAAAAAACATTGTGATATGTCATGATACGTCATGTGATGTGATCGAGTTTGACATCCGTGCTCTTAAGCAGTTGCCTGTTCTTGACTGCTTAAAAGAGAAACACTAAAAGAATATTTTAGGGAACTTGCCAGGAATAAAATCCAAACAAAACTAAAATATCCAGTTTTACAGGGCCTTTACTAATACTCAAACAAAACATTTCTGCATACTTTGATTGTATAATAGCAACAACAACAACAATAAAGAAGTTGGAAAAGACCTTGGAGGTCATCTAGTCCAACCCCCTGCTCAGGCAGGAAACCCTATACCATTTCAGATAAATGGCTGTCCAGTCTCTTCTTAAAAAGTTCCAGTGTTGGAGCATTCACCACTTCTGGAGGCAAGTTGTTCCACTGGTTAATTGTTCTAACTGTCAGGAAGTTTCTCCTTAGTTCTAGGTTGCTTCTCTCCTTGATTAGTTTCCACCCGTTGCTTCTTGTCCTGCCTTCAGGTGCCTTGGAAAATAGCTTGACTCCCTCTTCTTTGTGGCAGCCCCTGAGATATTGGAACACTGCTATCATGTCCCCCCTCGTCCTTCCCCTAATCATCTTTGTTGCTCTTCTCTATACTCTTTCTAGAATCTCAACATCTTTTTTACATTGTAGTGACCAAAACTGGATGCAGTATTCCAAGTGTGGCCTTACCAAGGCATTATAAAGTGATATTAACACTTCGCGTGATCTTGATTTTATCCCTCTGTTAATGCAGCCTAGCACTGTGTTCGCCTTTTTGGCAGCTGCAGCACACTGCTGGCTAATATTTAAGTGATTGTCCACTAAGACTCCGAGATCCCTCTCACAGTTACTACTATTGAGCAAGGTACCACCTATACCAGCGATGGCGAACCTTTTAGAGACCGAGTGCCCAAACTGCAACCCAAAACCCACTTATGCATCGTCGGGTGCCGGGTGGGTGTGGCCCATTGGGTGGGTGTGGCCCATTGGGTGGGCGTGGCTGCGGTGGTAACAGCAGACTGGGTGGGACTAAAAAGTTCAATCAATCAATTCCAACTTTGCAAGATCTTTTTTTTTTCCACGAGAAGTTGAAATTGACTGATTGGTTGAACTTTTTTTTTTTGCACATGGCGGCAGAGGCCTAAAGCGAAAAGGTTTTATAAAACCCAGCTGAAGGCCTAGGATTGGGGCGATGGCACGCGTGCCCACAGAGAGGGCTCTGAGTGCCGCCTCTGGCACCCGTGCCATAGGTTTGCCACCACTGACCTATACTATACCTGTGCATTTGTTTTTTCTTGCCTAAATGTAGAATCTTACTTTTTTCACCATTGAATTTCATTTTGTTAGTGCCCAAGTCTGTCCAAATCCTTCTGTATCTTAAGCCTGTCTTCTGGAGTGTTGGCTATTCCTGCCAGCTTGGTGTCGTCTGCAAATTTGATGAGTTCCCCATCTATCCCCTCTTCCAAATCGTTGATGAAGATGTTGATGAAGCAGAGTTATGTTCTCAGAAATATGCAGAACACTCATTTGCTAGATATAAGATAGCTGAAATGCAGGAATGAATGGTCATTGACAGAAATATGACCTGATCCTACAACAGATCTGCACAGGAGATATGAGTTCTGTCTTCTGTGTTGCAGCATGTCATAAAGGAAGATTATACTGTGCAAAGAAAAGTACCAGAGATAAATTGAAAGATTAACAATATGTTCACTTAGAAGACATCTGTTTCCAATGGGGCTTAATTCCAAATACAAGTAGTGCTCAATTTAAAACTATCATTATAGCCCAAAATTTCCACTGCTAAGCAAGACAGTTGTTAAGTGAATTTTGCACCATTTTACCACCT